CTTTTTCAATTTTTCCTAATAAACAATCGTGGTACAAAGCTCAATAAAAATATTAAAAATAAAATGTTAACAAGCCACAATAACATTGACAAATATATTAGTTTACCTTTAGTTAGTAGCATGTAATAACTACGGAAGAAGTAGAAAAAAAATAGATGGATAAGAAGGAAATCGGAGGAAAGTTAAGGCCTCGTGTAGATAATTAACTAAGAGGAAATGTTAAACTGCAAAAATCGGTGAATTTTGACTTTTGAATGTATTTTAAAAGGTTTTTTTTCCATTTTGAAACATTAAAAGAAGTGTTTAAAAGTATTTAAGGTAGACCTAAAAAAAAAAAACAAAAAATGTAGAGGAAAAAGGAAAGTATGTTAACACGGTGAAGAATAGGAAATGATAAAGTGATTACCGCAAAGAAAGTGCGAAAGGAAAAATTTAGAAGTTAATAAAATAATCCTTGGAGAAAAATTTGAATTACGAAAGAAAATCACAACAACAGCATGCAGCGACTCAACGAAGGCCTTCGGAGCAGCTCAAACAGCATCAGTGGCTGCTAAGCATTTGTTTGGTTGGTAGGTTTTTAAGTTAAAAGGAGATTAGGAGGCACGAATAGAGAGTGCTTCGGTTCACTGGTTTCTTTTCGATAGATTTTACTTGTGTGCAAATTTTGTTATCTCGCGTGTTCTTTTGAATGTCCCTTTTGTACGGTTTACTCCTGAGGGCCATGACAAGCCGAAACGCCCCCCATGACTGAAGCAGCTGGAATGCTAAGGATTCTGCATGAGTTGGAGTTCAAAGGTTCATAACAATCCCTAAACGCGGCCGAAGGCCGCCTACGCAGAAAGGTGATCTCTGCAAAAGGTTTTCAGCCCCTCTTCTTCGCGCGATTTTTTATTACAAATTTTCGCCAGGAGCGCTATGTTGTTTTGTGATAAAAACCAATATATTATAAAACCTAAAAATTAAAGTAAAAAATTCTGCGAACTTACTTTTTGACATTATTTAATCATCTGACAGCACGTACCTCGTTTTTCAATTGCAACCCTTGCAATAGCCTATTACTTAAAAGAAAATGGTGATGTGCGGTAAAAGAGTTTACAATTAAGTCACATTAACCTATGATGAAACTTGATCAACATATTTGGTGAATTTCGCAACTTTAACAACAAATTACTTAAAAACAATACGAGTGCGCGGGGTGGGGTCTTCACCTTTAGAATCAAAAAGCATTTTGTAACCGAAAGCAAAGATTTTTTCCATTCAAGCTGTAAAGGTGCCACGCCCCTTATTTTTTTTTGTACCAGCTTCGAACATACAGATAGTATTGGGAACATTTTTCGATTTGTGAGACCTAAAGCAATGTGTTTCGCATAGATTGCTATATCAGTTAGTGTAATACGCATGTCGGCACAATAGACTCCGATTTTGCAAAACCAGTCTTGAACCGACCGTCGTTGAGCTACATAACTTTGAACTGGAGTTATAGTGTGCAGACATGGCTCAATCGATTTCTCACATCATTTTAGCGTTTGGTTAATAAACCCTTGTAGTAAAGTGCGCTCGGATATAAAAGCACTGAAATGAATGGCTTTAATGTATTTAACGTTGTTCAGTGAGTAAGTTTCCATATTAAATAACAGTGTATTGAAAAGTACTGATTTTGATGAGTAGTAAAATGATCATGTACTGATTAATTTTTCGGCTTTACTTGCGTGATGCTGCATGTATATATGATTTATTCTTATCCTTGTAGAATGTTTTATGTACATTTTTTTTACAAGATGATTCTGACGAAAAAAATTACGTGAAGCGACCATAAAAATCACTTTCTTGCAGCAAAAGAAGTTTTACCTAAATAGTGCTGTTGTTGATATCATAAGCTCGTATTAAGACTAGCAATATAAATTGTCGCACTTACCAGCAATAATGTATAGAGAGTCATATTGAAAGTACCTATGTAGAGGTCGAACATCTTTTGCACTAGTTTCCTCATTCAATTTCCAAATTTGATTCTTCAGTATAATAAATATTATAGCTGTTAGATGTGCCGGCAACCATTGATAAAATTGCTGTACGATTTTCGCCATTGTACCCGCAACGGAAAACTTATAACTATAATTAAAGTAAAGTAATGAATTATCATTTTAAATTACTTCAAATAACCTGAAATGAAGCACTCAAATTATAGTCATAATGCCGAAATTCTACTAGGCATTAAGAGCTAACAATTTCATAGGCAAAGTTAAGCATTAAAAAAAATCATTATCATTATTAGGTCATTAACTTCGTTTCCAAGTGGCAGCTTTTAAATAACACAAATTTTTTGTCACTTCTGTGTCTAGTGGAAATCCAGTCATGTTTCCCAAAATTAAAAGTAATTGTTTTCTATGCTGCCGTACTGATTTAAAATGTGGGTATCTGCATTCGAAGTCAAATTAAACAAAACGCGTTTGTACTTGGTCCGTCCAATGTATGCTTTTTGTGTAAATGAAAACAACTGTTTTAGACTAATTCGGATGTCCTCTTTTTATTTATGCAAAAGAAACGTAAAATTTTGATTGCATGTATGCGGAACTGTAGATACATACGTTTTTCTCTCGAACGCAAAATTTGCGAGAAAACTTGTTAAAATACCAAATCTGCGCAGATGGCTTTTCTAGCTGATTTTGACTAAGTTTAGAAATCATTTGGAAAAACCAGATGAATTTTCTTTTTGGTTTTTTGACAGCGTTATATGTATATGAGTCGGTATATATCAAAACTGTATAAGTCTACAGACGAAATTTTTCCATATTATTGGTATAATACGTACTGACCGAATAAATAAATAGTTTAAACTAAAGCAATGTAACTAATTAATGTCGCTAAGATTAAAAAAACGCATTTAATATTAACTATAAATAGTTATAAGTGACTAAGTCCTACCATAAGTTTAAATCAGAATTGATTAAGTCCATTCCAGTCAATCATATTGTGTTCTGCTACTGTACATAGATTGTGACATATGCTTCGATATATATGAAACCTCCCTTAGTTCACCTTATTTTGGGAAATTTTGCTTCAAAACAATATGGCATTTTTCAAACGTACTTAAGTCCAACAAACGACTTCTCTATTTTGAATATAGCTTAACTTTCCATACTTTTTTTCGCAAACTGCTTCCAAGATCTATTTTGTAAACATTTTTAGAGTTTTGCAAAAGCTATGTAAAATATACAGCAAGAAAAGAAAAACCACAATTTCCTAAAATTGTCTCATGATGGACTTGGGCAGGTGTGATATGTATCGACTCATATGTTCTATTTTATTTCTAGAAAACTAAAATAAAAAAAGAAATGGAAACCAATAATACATATGTATTTTATTTGCATTTTTATCTTATTTGTTATTTATTTTGTATTAAAAGTTACATACGTCGTTCTGTAACATCAAAAATGCCTCCAATACTGCCAAAGAACGTGGGTATGTACATATGTACGTTGTTCTAAAAAACGATCGTTGGCCTCAAACGACCCAGAATACTTTTTAAAACGACGCATCTGCATACGGCATTGTAGATACGTTGTTTTTGATCAGTATGCAAGCTACAATTCCGGCTGAATTACTGAAAAAAGTGTAGATACTGCAAAATTTTTGCAGATACCCACGTTTTACATCAGGATTTCTCGAAAATTGCTGTAGATATTGCAAACGTGAAAATTTAAAACTTCAATAACTTTATCAATATTTATAATTTGAAAACTATTTTTGCATGCATAAATTCGTATTTTCAGGACGAATTCAACAATGTAAATAACTCATTTTCGAAGAAAAATTCAGATACCCACATTTTAAATCAATACGGCAGTATGTACGTACCTTATATGATATCGGCATACTGGATCCATAAATATTTCTAATGAAATGGGATTAATCGAAGAATTATAGCCAAAAGGGCTGGGAACTGGAGCATTAACATAAAATGGTTCAGCTGATGGATCTCTGTTTAAAATACAAATTTACCACTATATAAACAACTTCTTATAGTTTAATAGAAGATATCTTACCGAAGAATTTGGTATTTGGTAAAACCGGGAGCCCAGGGTATGCACATTTTAATAGCAATTTGACTCAAGCGCCCCATACAGGTTACTGGTTCAATTATCAATTCCATGGTTGGATATGTTTCTTCGAGACCTTAACAATTTTCATATAATTAGTTCGCAAATTATGGATGGTCCTCTCAATGTAAAATATTTATACAAAGCATTGACAACATGGGAATTGCTCTCTTAGTATGAAATCTCTTGGAGTTAGAGACAATCGGCCCTCTTATGGTTGTCGACGTCGATGCCATTTTTTCGTCAACAAAACAAGCCTCATCAGTCCAACTCCGGTTACGCAAACAACAGAAATTTTGCAAGGACCACCTTACCGCAAAAATACTATGGTCAGCGTAGCTGGAGTTGGACTTACGATATCTATTTTTTGACGAAAAAATAACATCGACGTCGACAACCATAACAGGGCCCGAATAAGTGCAAGGAGCATTAAATAAGTCTTTCGAACTGGCAACATTAATGTCATTTAAGCTTATTTGACATTTGCATCGCAAAATTTGACATTCTTTAGCACAAACATGCGGGTGGTAGCAGAAGAGAGGGAGGCCCCCACTGCGATGGAAAGACCAAGTGGAGAAGGACTTGACTTCACTTGGCATTTTCCAATTGGCGTCAGTTGGCACAGAAGAGCAACGACTTGCGTGCTTTGTTTAACTGAACCAAAATCACGTAGGCGGTTAGACAGCCAAAGAAGAAGAAGAAGTACTGTTTTCTTTACCGTCACTTCACAGTTTCAAGTTAACAAAATAAGGTTTTCGTTGGCTGACGTAGATTAACACAACAAAAGTGCATCATAAACTTGTTTAGATTTTTGTTGATTAAGGACCATGAAGACCCCACATAATCTAACAATACGAGTATGTAGTTAAGGTTCAGATAGTAATAGGTGACAAGAATTGGATACATGCAAATGAGCCTGAAATAAAAGTACATTCAACTGTATGGATTGTTACACCAGCTTCGTTCCTTTCTAAACGCGCAACTCGGGTGAAATTTTCCTTTGGCGACTTAAGCAACCCTGTTGGTATCTGGCAAGAAACATGTGACTAGTTTAATGAGATTTATAACAAAAACCAATGAAAATTAGTAATATTGAGAGCTATTTTCGTAATATATATACCAGGGGTGGGCAATACCGAGTTAGAAAAGAGCTACATTTAAATACTAAATGCTACAAAGAGCCACAAAAAACAACAAAAACGAAAACTTTATTTTTATATAACATTATTATTAGAAATGAAAAACATTACGACACGAAAACTTTATTTTTATATAACATTATTATTAGAAATGGAAAACATTAATTTTATTATTATTCTAATGTACGTAAGATAGATATTAAAGAAAATTTAAAAGATCCATTTGGCCAAATTTTCATAACCTGGTTTTACGTCAGTTAAAGCCGTTCGTAACAGTTCTGTTAAATGTTGGTTAGTCAATAGGTCCGTTCGTTAAAAATCTCCAGTAAAAAATGTCCACCAGCAAAATTCCGCCGAAATGTCATCTGTTCTCTTACAAAAGAAAAATATCCAAAATAGTACGCGAACAGAAAATTTGCAGAAACTTGCAAGTTAGACGAACAGCTGATAGAAATTTTGTTGACATTCAAAAGTATAAAATTGATAACGTAAGAAAACAAATCCTGACACAGTTCACTGACTAAAAGAATAATTACTTACTTCTTACAAGTTTAATTAGTCGCATTTTACTATTTTAACTTCCAAACCATCAAACTCAAGTTAGATTCCAATCAACTGTTTTTGATCAGCTGTTTTCTTGTTGGCAAATTGCTGTGGGCAAAAATTTACACTACCTAGAAACTACCAGCTTTCCCTCAAAATGAAATGTCATTTTGCTCTCTCAATTTCCCCTACTTTGCAAGTTTTTTGCTTACACGAACACAAAAAGCTGATAGTTTTTTTAAACTTCAATAACTATTAGGTACGCAAATGCAAATAATTGTGAACGGTATTTTGACTTTACGAATTTCATTGCAGAGTACACAGTTATTCGTACTTTTTGCCGACAATTCAAGCAATGGCAAAGCTTTATGTTCCAGTTCCAGTGCCTTATCTTCTTTTAATTCCAAAAACACCAACTCTTTTTCGCTTTTCTTAAAAAGGAAAGTTTCGGATATGGTGAATTCATCCTCAATTATGTTACACAAAAGAGGGTTTATGAAGTATGCAAACGTTCTTCTTCTTCTTCTTCTTCTTCTTTTTTGGCGCTGTAACCGCCTAAGCNTAGGGTTTATGAAGTATGCAAACGTTCTTCTTCTTCTTCTTCTTTTTTGGCGCTGTAACCGCCTAAGCGATTTTGGCCGAGTTCAGCAAAGCACGCCAGTCGTTTCTACTCTGTGCCAACTGACGCCAATTGGAAACGCCAATTGAAGCCAAGTCCTTCTCCACCTGATCTTTCCATCGCAGTGGGGGCCTCCCTCTTCCTCTGCTACCACCAGCGGGTTCCGAGTTGAATACTTTCAGAGCTGGAGCGTCGGTGTCCATTCGAACGACATGGCCAAGCC